CTGAATCTGCACTCTGTACGTAACACATCCCTGAATCCTGCACTCTGTACGTAACACATCCCTGAATCCTGCACTCTGTACGTAACACATCCCTGAATCCTGCACTCTGTACATAACATATTCCTGAATCCTGCACTCTGTACATAACACATTCCTAAATCCTGCACTCTGTATGAAACACACACTTGAACCTTGCACTCTGTACGTAACGCATTCCTGAATCTTGCACTCTGTATATAATGCACTCCTGAATCCTGCATTTTGCAAAACCATTTGTAATGGAAGCTTTTTATTTTTTTTAAAATGATTGTGCTATGGTTTGTGTCCTTGAGACAGCACTGTGGCGCAGCAATCAAAGCATATTTTATAGGTACAAGGAAGCCTGAGGTTTTTTTTTAACCACGCCGCTTAGGCCCCTCCCACTGCTACGCTTTTGGCCACACCCATTTTTGCCACACTCACTACGCATGCCACAGGTCACTTCCTCCCTCATTCTGAAGTTCAAAAGTTGGAAGGTATGGATAGAATAGCCCTGAGCTCAGCGTGTGAGTGAATTAACCCTTTTAATATTTAAGCAGTTTAGCGAATAAGCTGACATTGTGTTCAATTTAAAGTGTCTAAACTAAAACCTGAAATATTTACCTTAGCCCCAACGGTCTGTTGTCCGCGAGGTCCCTTCTCATCATCTTCTTTCAGGTGCTGGTCTTTAACATCTTGATTGGCCGGCACCGAATGACATAAATTTGCGTGTGCACAGGAGTTTTGTCATCCTGACACACGGGCACAATGCTGGAAAACGCATGAACAGTTCACTTTACATTTTAAGGAAGTGAGTAGCCATGTAGGTTTATTTATTTGCAGAAGAGACATTGTATATCTATTCTGCAATAAACAACCTTCCTTTAAAAATGACTTTAGTTCCGCTTTTAGGCTCCATGCACACTAGTGTTTTTTCTGCTCCTGGAAGCTCTACTCAGCATTTTTTCTGCTCCTAAAAGCTAATTCGTGTTATCCTATGTGTCCATGCATGCTATTTTATGTTAGTAGTGTTTATCAAACTTCAACATTTAGGAGCGGGAAAAAAAGTTGTTTTTGGGAGCGTTTTGCCAGTAGAAAAAAAAAACACCGAACACTCTTTTTTTTTCCCCCCCACTATGTACTGTACAAACACTAATAAAATGCTAACGCTTCTAAGCGATTCTAAACACTACTAAAAGACCCTACTAACATCCAGCCTTTTTTTTAGCTTAAGAAAAATGCTAGTGTGCATGGTGCCTAATTGTAATTTCACTTCCCTTGCACATGGTTGGATATTTAAAGTGAACGCAGCTCAAAGCGGAGTTCCACCCAAAAGGGGAAGTTCTGCTTTAAAGATTGGTCCCCCGCTCCCCATTAAGGATTGGCACCTTTGGGGAGCAGGGGGGGACTGGTACCTGAATTTGACAGGTACCCACTCCCACTTCCACTGCGCCTAGGTGTTTGGAAGCGGAAGTTGTCCTCCAACCCTACCTGAAGTCTTGTGGGACAGGTGACAGGTCCCAAAAGACGATGGGGCCATTCAGGAAGCGCAGCGCTACTCCCGCATGCACAGTGGGCACCCGGCTGTAAAGCCACAAGCTGTCACAGCCGGGTGCCCACACTGAAGATGCCGGCGCCTGGAACAGTGGCGTATTTAGGTTTTGTGCTGCCCTAGGCAACACAAAATTTGCCCCCCCCCAGAGAGAGCCTGACATTGACCAACAACACCCCTGCCCTCCCACCCACCCGAAAGAGCCTTCCACTACCTTCGCCCCCATACACTGGCCACTCCTCTCCCCAGCGGAGAGAGAGAGTGAGAGAGACACTCACCTTCACAGCCCTGGACATCCCTGGGAACGAGAGTCAAGCAGCCTGCAGTCTCTCTCAGATCCCACCTGGTCCCCAAGCTGCATGTGTCCCCTCTTTCAGGGGGGTGGTGCTGTCCCCCTGAAAAATGCCGCCCTAGGCAAATGCCTTGTTTGCCATGTGGTAAATACGCCCCTGGCCTGGAATACAGGACGGCCGGTGAAATGGGCTGCAGCGGGGGCAACGCGGGATCGTGGGACAGGTAAGTCGCTGTTTTTTTTAAAAGTCAGCAGCTACAGTTTTTGTAGCTGCTGCTGACTTTATTTTTATACAGAGTGAGTGGAACTCCGCTTTAATCATACTCACGAAGGTAACTAAATACTCATTTTGCTAATTGAGATGGGCTGTTAGACTGCAATTTCAGATGTGGCTAAACTCCAAATTTGGACGCAGTAGCACTCTGTACAGACACATACAAACGACCATAAGCTGTGTCCAGTCTGAATACGGACAGAATCGCCAGCCCTTAACTCAAACTGTCTGCATCCAGAGCTTGTCAGAAGCCCCTTTTGCATGTAAACGCTGGTAGGAGTGGTTACGTGTGAACAGCGACGGTGCAAATTTGGCACGGCAGCATCTGGCCACATGGCTGTTGGCCACAGCTATATGAACACAAGGGGAGTTGATTTACTAAAGGTAAATATTCTGTGCACTGCAAGTGTAGATGCTTTAGATCTGAGGGGAAGCTCTGAAATGAGGGGAAGCTCTGCTGATTTGTTTCATCCAATCATGTGCAAGCAAAAGTGTTTTTTTTTTATTTTCCTTGCATGTTCCCCTCAGATCTAGAGCAACTGCACTTTTAGTGCAGCCTATGTGCCTTTAGTAAATATAAACCCTGTACATGTGGATAGTTTCTCTGCACCCAAAAATCACATAGTCTAGTCAGCAGACACCTGTCTGATTGAGCCCTAGTTCGACCATCCCAATTTACTTCTTTAGTAAATCAACTGCATTGCTTGTTGCTCCAGTTATCAATATTACATTTTTATATGATTTAACAAAAATGGACTAGATGCTGCCAAGTGCACTCTGTAATCTAACAGGTCTGGTCAGGCATGCTCACCCCCTATTTCAAATAAGGATGCCTGTGGCTGTTACCCATCTATGGCAGCATAGGTCACTAAAGTGGAGGGCAGGAAGCACATTTCTGCTACGAGTGTCAGGACTTGGATCACCTGCTGGCAGTACTGTGGTTCCCAGAGCTGAAGCATGCAGTTCTGGTGGCCACCAACAGGTGTCTCCCAGCAGATCGCAGTAATTAGGCTCCACCTGCTGCTGGCTACTGGGAATGTATATAACCCTGTCCTTGCTTTGCAATATTGCTTCAGTGTTTTGCTTGTTAGCAATATACCTGCTTGCTGGTCCCCGCCTTATCATGTACCTTGTATTTAATACTCTGTATCCTGTTACCCCATCTCTGCTCCCCCCCTTGTTCCTACTCCCAATCCTGCTATGCCTAGTTTGTCAGTTTCCCCCCCATTTGTCTATACTGTATATGCAGTAGTTTGGTTGTTGTTTTTTAGTTTTGCTTCAAGCTCCGTTCATATCTGGCCATTCTGTCCGCGATCCCAAAACATGAAAAGTCGCACCGCACGTTTAGGTGCCATTTATTTTCAATGCCACCTAAAACACAGAGTGATTCTGCCATGATTGTCGCACGATAAGTCACGCAGCAATTGCGCAAACTGCACCGCGCACAGCTTGTACCTTCAAAAGAAGCTTCTGCTCCATTTTAGATGACAAGCTTCCCACAATGCGATTTGCAGAGCGATTGTGCAACAATTGTGGCAGAATCGCACCGCTTTTAGGTGCCAATGGAAAGAAATGGCACCAAAACGCATGTGATGTGATTTGTCATTTTTGCACAGCGTTTTGGGATCGTGGGCAGAATTGTGACATTCTGCCCGCGATACAAAACCTCAGGTGTGCATGCAGCCTCACTGTCACATTCATTTTTCACTTTTGCTTTGATTATGGTCTGTTGGTGTTGCATTGGTATTGTGTGCATTAATAAGCTTCATTCTAACCATACTCAGTTTGATTCCAGTTTCCACTGAACTGGTCATCCCTGCAGCCGCTGAATACCTGTACCAGGTATCCCTTACAAAGAGCTATTGTATGACATTTGGAGGTAAAATTTGGTTAGAATCATAAAACACTATGTATAAAATTGAGCACAAGGTGTGAGTCTTCAGTTGGGCTGTGACTGTTATTTTACAACCCTGAGTTCGGCTTTGTGACAAACTCTTCTAGATAATCCTATCAAAGACTAGGCATTCAACTCCACGACAGTAGAAGAGCTGTGCTCTAGGACAGGGGTCCCAAACTTTCTAAACAAAGGGCCAGTTTACTGGCTTTCAGACTTTAGGGGTGGCTGGACTGTGGCCATTGGGAGTAGATATTGTCCTGCGTCATTGGGAGTAAACAATACAACTTTGGCATTAGGGGGAGGAATAGCGCCCTATTCTTGCTGTAAGTTGGAGAAATAGTGCCCCATCGTTGGTGTCAGTGGGAAGTATAGTGCCCCGTTGTTAGTGTTAGTGGGAGGAATAGTGCTTCATGGTTTGTTTCAGTGAGAGGACTAGTGCACAATTGTTGGTGTAAATATGAGGAATAGTGCCCCACTGTAGGTGTCAATGGGAGGAAGAGTGCCTGTTGTTGTTGTCAGTAGCAGTAATTATGTCTCCTTGTTGGTGTCAGTGAGAGGAATAGTATCTTGTGTCAGTGGGAAAAAAGTGCCCCAAGGGCCAGATAAGGGCTAGCAAAGGGCGGCATCCGGCCCCCGGGCCATAGTTTTGGAGACCACTGCTCTAGGACAGTGGATCATACTTTGTAGCAATATCACTCCACTTTTCTTCCCAGACTGAACTTTAACCACCTCCCGTCCGCCATATAGTGTAATTACGGGCGCAAGGCGGTTCTCTCATTCTGGGAGGACGTCATCCCATTCTAACCACGCATGCGCGGCGATCGGTGGTGCGCTGTGTCCCTCGAACAAAGTGGATCACCAATCAACGGAAAGAGCCGAAGATGTCGGCTTGGTCATGTGATCAGCTGTGTCCAATCACAGCTGATCGCATGTAAATAGGCAAGTGCTGGTTATCGGCATTTCTCTCCTCACGAGCTGTCACACTGACAGCTCGAGAGGAGAGGAGAGCCGGTAATCGGCATCCCTCATTGGGGACATGTGCACTGATCATTAGGGCACTGATGATCAGTGTGCCCTGATTATCTGTGTAGCCCCAGCAGTGCCACCTGTCAGTGTCCATCAGTGCCAGCTGTCAGCCACCTCCCAATGCCCATCAATGCCACATGCCAGTGCCTACCAGTGCACATCAATGCCACATATCAGTGCCCATCTGAGCTGCCTTTCAGTGTCACCCATCAGTGCCAGTCAGTGCCATCTATCTATGCCAGTCAGTGACACCTATCAGTGCCAGTCAGTGCCACCTAACAATGCCAGTCAGTGCCGCCTATCAGTGCCATATATGAGTGCTGCCTTTCAGTGCCCATCAGTGATGTCTGTCAATGCCCACCAGTGCTCTCTACCACTGGCTCCTCATCAGTGCCACCTATCAGTGTCCATCAGTGCAGCCTATCAGTGCCCATCACTGCAGCCTCATTAGCGCACATCAGTGAAGGAGAAAAATCACTTATTTACAAAATTTTATAACAAAAACTAAGAAAAAAAACTTTTTTTTTCAAAATTTTCAGTGGTTTTTGGTTTAAGAAAAAATAAAAAACCCAGAGGTGATTAAATACCACCAAACTAAAGCTCTGTCACAAAAAAATGTTACAAATTTCATATGGGTACAGTGTTGCCATACCGCGCAATTGTCATTCAAAGTGTGACAGCTGGAAATTGGCCTGGGCAGGAAGGGGGTATAAGTGCCCTGTAAGCCAAAGAAACTACAAAAATCTGTTCTGCATTTTTCCTTATGGAAATGCTACTAAAGGCAATCTGGAGAGTAAACCCATGACTGGTAAAATCCTATAGGATCCAGGAATCCTCATAGAAATAAATGAATACTCTGGCAATTATACAGCACTCTCCATTTTTATCTATATCTGGTGCTACTATAGACTGGGCTGTTGCTGTGTATGAGCCCCATCCAACTCAGAGACGCAGATGAATTCATGACAATTTGCAAAGTAACATTAGGCACCTGCTAAGATTTTGCTGAAGCCTCTGACTCGGGTCTTCCTGGTATCTCCGTCTACTAAAATGAGCAAATACTTTTTGAAGAAAAATTGCAATTTTCATTGCAATGGATAAATGTAAATCTACGGAGAAGGTTTTAGGGCCCATTCACATCACACCCAGAGGCGTATTTGCTGTGAGGCAAACAAGGTGTTTGCCTTGGGTGGTATTTTTGAGGGGGGCAATGCTGCCCCCCAAAGAAGGGATGCTGGTTCTCCTTGGCACTGGGGCTGGGCAGCAGAGCGGAGTGCGGGGAGCGCCACCACCCTGGAGGAAGGGCCACTGGTTCTCCTACGGAGTCGTTGGAACGGCCGTGAGACTCCGGGAAGGGAGCTGGTTAGTCTTTCTCTGGGGTGGAGGTGGGGTTTAAGGGGGTCATGGTGTGTGAGGGGGGGGGGGTCGCAGATGGGGGGTGCTGGTGATGTGGGTGGCAGATTTTTGGTGTTGTCAAGGGCAGCACAAATTTTAAATACTCTCCTGACCACATCACACACGGTAACGTTGTGAATGGCAACCCAACAGACTTCCAAAATGCACATGTGCTGTGCTTTCAAAGATTGTCGCACAGTGAGGTGGGTTTCTGTGCATTCATTTTGAATGAACGGTTTAATGTAATCATGCGCCACTGCACAATGCATTCATTACACAGCACTGTGTTTCCATGTGAATTGGCCTTCAAGTGAACTAGCTCACATGTTCAAAAGCTAGGTTGTCGCACAATAGGGGTTCACACCCTCTGACTAGATGCAAGAACCCCAGTGGGGGTTCCCATTAGTTGCCAGAGGTAACTCCATTAAAAGGGAGGCTGTCGCCTCTTTCAGCTAATCGTGGACAATCATGTGGTGGAGACCAATCAATCACGTGATCACTGCAGGAGAAATGACATGCAATGGCCACGATTAGCCTTTACCATTTCAAGTCCGGACACTTTTACCTCCTTCCTGTCCAGGCCAATTTTCAGCTTTCAGCGCTATCACACTTTGACAATTGCGCAGTCATGCAACACTGTACCCATATGAATTTTTTAGTATTTTTTTGAGACAGATAAAACTATTTGGTGGTATTTATTCACCACTGGGATTTTTATTTTTTTTTTGTTATATAAATGAAAAAATCCAAAATTTAGAAAAAAATTTCTTATAAAATTTTGCAAATAAATAATCTTTCTTCATAAATCTTGGCCAAAATTAATTCAGTTACTGTATCTTTTTAGTAAAAAAAAAACCCAAATTAGTTTATAACCAAAAAGTATACTTGTTCAAAATATGTTTTTACATTTTTATTTTTTTATATTATTATTTGTTTTTTTTTTTTTAACATACTGTCACCCTAGTAGCACAGTGACACTGTACTACTTGTGGGGGGTGATGAAGATTTTTTTTTTTTTTACATAGGCTGTAAAATATATAATTTCTCCTTCTCTCTGGCAGCATTCTTGCAGCCATTGAGAAATACTGTGAGAGCTGTGATTGGTCACAGCTTGTCACATGATACAAGGCTGTTGTGAATAGCCTTGTACCATGTGACTTCTATGATCATTCACAGATTTCACTAGTAGTAAGCAATGATGTCAGAAGTGACAACTTGCTTACTACTATTCATGTGACCACTGACTGGCCAATCAGTGATCACATGATCGGGACCTCACACAGTGATCGGTGTTCCGCTGTGTCCAGAGGAGACCAGATCGCGGTGCCGCTCGCTCCCAAGGAGCGCACACAGGCCGTAAATGCGGGCGTCATTTATGAACGGCAACCCGTTCCTGCACTGCTCCCGTCTGGCCGTTTATGTACATGGGCCGGACGGGAAATGGTTAAAATAACATAAATTAAAAAGTGCTATTAAACCCAAAAATTAAAATGCAATATATTGCAGCTTACCAATTTGTAGATGTGGCAGCTGCATTAGTTTTCTTTTTTAGGCTTTTTGCTTCCTTTATTCATATATTCCTTTATCCTGCCAGGAACAGACTTCCTGCCTTAGGGTGTCTTCATTCTGGAAAAAGTGGTAAGGCAGACACAGCATGGTCAGTCTGGAGACTAGTGTTAGACTAGCAGATTTAGATGGACTTGACTAACAAATTAAAGCTGGACTGCAGCCAGTGCCAGGACAAGGTCATCTAGAGCCCAGGGCGAACATACCAAACTGCGCCCCCCACCCCATGATGTGTGAGCATTATCTTACATAGTTAGTCTGGCTGAAAAAAGACAAAAGTCCATCCAGTTCAACCATTAAAAAAAAAAAAAAAAGTTATAAACCTACACCCACAGTTGATCCAGAGGAAGGCAAAAAAAAACCCAGCAAAGCATGATCCAATTTGCTCCTCCAGGGAAAAAAAATATTTCCTGATCCCCCGAGAGGCAATCGGATATTTCCTGGATCAACTTTACCTATAAATGTTAGTATCCAGTTATATTCTGTGTATCTAAGAAAGATTCCAGGCCTTTTTTTTTAAAGAAATCCACTGAGCTGGCCGCTCCAATGTGCCAGCAAAAATCCCCCCCACATGCACTAATCTCCCAGTACAATTTTGCCCCACCCATCCCCCAAGTTCCACGCCAGCACAAATGCCCCCCCTAAAAAAAACACCCCTCCTAGCACTCCACACCCCCCCCCCCCAACTCACATGATACCATTGTGCTCAGGGCAGCCACCACTCCTGCTCACCCCCTTGTCCTGGCCCTGACTGCAGCTAACACTTTAAGGGCCAGTTCACACTATAGAAACGCAGTCCAGATGCGTTCCGGATGCGTTTCCGCATGTGCGTTTTTTGACGCGTTCCATTATTATTATTATTATACAGGATTTATATAGCGCCAACAGTTTGCGCAGCGCTTTACAATATAAGAGAGACAGTACAATTACAATACATTTCAGTACAGAAGGAATAGGAGGGCCCTGTTCATGGAGCTTACAATCTAAAGGAAGGGAGTGGTGGAACAAAAGGTGATAGCTGTGGGGGAGGATCTGGTGGAGGTGATTCCAGTACAGTTCTTAAGTGGAGGTGGGGTAGGCATCCCTGATGAAGTGAGTTTTCAAAGATCGCCTAAAGGCAGACAGGGTGGGGGCTGACCGGACATGCTGTGGTAGGGAGTTCCAGAGGATGGTAGAGGCTGGAGAAGTCCTGGAGGCGAGCGTGGGAGGAGGTGATGAGGGAGCTAGACAGGAGGATATCATGGGAGGAGCGGAGTGGGCGATTTGGGCGATATCTGCCGATGAGGTTGGCGATGTAGCTAGGGGCAGTGTTGTGGATGGCTTTGTAAGCTGTGGTTAGTATTTTGAATTTTATACATTGGGTTAGTGCAGTGTTTCTCAACTCCAGTCCTCATGGACTCCCAACAGGTCATGTTTTCAGGATTTCCATTATTTTGCACAGGTGATTTGATCAGTTTCACTGCCTTAGTAATTACCACAGCTGTTTCATCTGAGGGAAATCCTGAAAACATGACCTGTTGGGGGTCCATGAGGACTGGAGTTGAGAAACACTGGGTTAGTGGAAGCCAGTGAAGGGATTGGCAGAGAGGGGCAGCAGTCGCTGATCAGTTGGTAAGGTGTATGAGTCTAGTAGCAGCATTCATAATAGACTGAAGGGGGGATAGCCTGTGTAATGGTAGACCAGCGAGGAGGGAGTTGCAGTAATCGAGGCGGGATATAACCAAGGCGTGGATGAGTTGTTTTCTGGTGTCATTGGTCAGGAAGGGGTGGATTTTGGAAACGTTCCGGAGGTTGAGGCGGCAGGATTTAGCCAGTGAGTGGATGTGGGGTCCAAAGGAGAGGTCAGAGCCTAGGATTACACCTAGCACCCTGGCATGAGGGGAAGGACCAATGGTTGTGCTGTTGATCTTAATGGTAAAGTCGTGAGTGGTGGATCGGGGGGAGGAAATATTCCAGTGCGTTTTTGATGCGTTCCAGTGGGTGTTTATGCATTCCAGTTCCCCCTCTCTTTTTCTTCAAGTTAAATAGGAGCATTGCAGTGCATTTTGGTGCATTCCAGTGCTTTTTGATGCGTTTTACCACGTTCCATTGCAGTTCTGTGCAGGAAAAATGCAGCCTGTTCTACTTTTTTTTTATGCAACTGGAACGCACTGGAACTGCAAGCACTGGTGTGAACTATGACATTGACAACCATATAACCTACTTTCTGTGCGTTTTGGATGCAGAAAAAACACAACTGAAATGCATGTAGTGTGAAGTGGCCCTATGGGCTGGTTCACACCAGATGCAGTCCAGTGCGTTTTTTTTGCTGCATACAAAATGCATGCACATTGTTTTCCATGTATT